TTATTATTATTATTATTATCATTGCATTTTATTGATATACACACACACGAACATAGATACACACATACGCACATACGTACACACATTCGCGCACAAATACGTACAGGCATTTGAACCCCGCTCAGATTCGAACTTTGAGCTTTCATGTGAGTGAGTCAAATTCGTCTCCACCTGCGTTAAAAGAGTCGAGTTTCAATTGATTGATAATGGAGACAATAACTGTTCTATTTCAAAACTGTAATTATGTTTTTCGTTAAATTTAATCAAATATCACTCACCTCTCTCTTTAAAAAAAATATGTCGATGTAATGTTAAATACTTTACCTGTGTAAAAGCTTACGTTTGAATCAACTCCACACGTTTCATTTAAGAAATGTTACGGTCATATAATTTAGGTGAATTATATTGGCTTTAATATCACTATTACTGGCAAATAACTTGAGGCATAAGATGACCTACACATTTTCAAACAATTTTCTTCTATAACTTACTTTTCTAATTGAAAGAACGAATTTTAGCACTTGAATTTCTACATCATTGCATCATGCTTGTTGGTTTGGCTACATGTTGTTTTCTCTGTTCACTATCTCTATTTCGATGTGATGTAGTTGCCATCCAAAGTCTGGCAAGTTGCTGAGGATCCGATGTCGAATAAGTCCATAATCTAGATCTTCTCAATCTCCTTAAAATCTTAAAATGATTTTTCGCTTAGCCAGGTGTGCCAAGGAAGGCGTTTGTAACCCGCCTCACAAATTAATGCACAACATCGAATGCTCTATCGTGAAATTTCCCCCCAAAGCTGATTTTAGCTTCAATTTATATAAGTCACTGTTGCTGTTGTTATTGTTGCTTTTATTGTCGCAGTTGTTTAAAGAGTTTCGTCTAAATTGACCTGCATTTTAAGAAAACGTCAGTTTAGTATCACGATCTTCAATGATCTTAATGCCGAATATCATTGCATTTGTAGAGATTCAAATCCAAGTTTTCCAATGTAACTTCGGTTTCAGAAGCCATCTTCTTTACCTCACGTTTTGCAATGACGGACAATATTTTTGCAAAACTAGATGACGCCGCGATACAACAGCACGTGTACTTTAATCATGCTAAGCAAATATAATTCTGCAGTTGCGCATGACACGTGTATTTCTAATGCAGTTAACAATAAAAATAATACAACATTTTGGATATGGGCATTTGTAAACCTCAATACTATTAGCTTAAACGAATAAATAAAGATTATGATAGACGTTTGCTATTTTGTAAGGCTGGCATTGATCAAATTCGACGGCGAGGTAGCAGGTTGATTCGAGCATGCAGTGAGAAAAGACATTCCTGCTAAAACATATTAGCAACAGCAACTCCACCCCCACATTTTTTCAAAATTAAAAATAATAAAATTAACTAAACTATTTTTAAAACTAACATAACAGCATAACAAAAAGCAAAGAAACAGACAAGTCAAAACAAAACTATCAAAAACAAAACACCAATAAACCTAAATAGCACAAAACGCGAAAGAAATGTCAAACCACAAATAGATCAAAAGAATACAACATTTAATTTTGAAACCCCAAATAGAACGAGTCAAAACCAAATTATTAGAAAAAGAAGAAAAAAAGCGTCAACGAGACATACTTTGGAAGAATCAACTTTCCTCCCAAAGAACAGAATTGTCCGAAATTCAAACAAATACAGCGTACGTTTCTGCACTAGAGAGGGCGGAGTACACGGCAAAGAATAAAAGCAGAAAAAACATCAAACGAACTACAAGTTCAGCTGTTAAACAGTTCCCCTCCCCAGTACTTTTCTCCCTATGGAGCGAACATCCCTGTTTGTAAAGAACTAGATCTAGGAGGAATTGAGAACATGATTACTTTTTCAAAAAGTCAAGAGTTTTGTTCCAACTGCATATTCAAAAAAATAATAGTTCTATGAAGAATCTCTGCCGTATTCATCTAACGTGATCTATTTCTTGAACCATGCACTTATAAATTTGTTGAGCCAGCGCCCACTTTTGACTCCTTTAAGGGGCTAGAACAATATTTTCGTAGCGCCTACCTCCATGTATTTCCGAGCAAGGCATAACACCTGTCACAACTTGGATCATCCCCACCGCCACCAAAATTATCAAATGTCCGCCGGCTCGCGGACGACACCTCCCAGGTTCAGGTTGGAAAGCACTTCAATCGATGATATTTTTCTTTGACAAGTCTACGGAGGAAAAATGAAAGAAAATGAAACAAATGAAAAAAAAATGTACGAACTGACTAGTACAGTCACCGCTTAATTCATCTTTACACAAAATATATAAATACATGAGAGAGACACGTCAAATTCACACATACACTCACACACACGCGTGAAACACACACATACACACACACGCACACACACACACGCACACACACACACACACACACATACACACACGTGAAACCCACACACACACACCCACACACACACACGTGAAATACACACACACACAAACACACACACACACACACACACACACACA